TAAGGCAGAGCTTTCTAAACTGTGTGTCACGACATGTTAGTGTGTCGGCTGCAGTGTTTAGGTGTGTCGTGCAAATGCTCCATGCGCTTCTCCTGGGCTGGAAAGGGGTTAGTTTAACATCCAGTTTTCTAGTAAAACTGAATTACTGTGCCGCGAAATGATGCAAAACTGAATTACTGTGTTGCGAAATGACGCAAGTCTAAAAAGTGTGTCACCAGCATGAAAAGTTTGGGAAGCTCTGTTCTAAGGCAGTTAGATAGATGCCTGGATCTCTTTAGGCCAGATTACATGTTTGCTTTGTTACCTTGAAACAGCATCCTTCACTGTACCATTGTTGCTACCAGCCAGCATACTCTGTATGATTAGGTAACCTGTATATGACAGCTTTATGCAGAATGCCGGATTCTTTCAGTGACAGTTGCTGCACTCAATTGGATTGCAATGGGCAGCAATCAAGTTCAAGATTTAATGTTGCAGTCAATGAAAGTCATTTATTATTAGATGAAGTACCTGAAGAAGCCAATTGCTTCGATATGCAGTGCTTTACTAAAATGCCTCAAACTTTGGTAACATTTTCTACTCTTAATCATCCACAGCCAGTGCCTTACGTAAACACTTTTACACATCCCCTAAAATGTTAGAGCTAAAGATTCCAACCTCAGTAAAGCTACATGTATTTCAGGCAAGCTAGAACATGCAGCTAAAAGTTTAAAAGTTTCAAGTGAAATAAACAAAACACATTGTGTGTTAATGTTAGTGGTGATCCCCCCCCCAGCAATGGTATTGGGGACTCCCCACCCCCATTTAAGGGCAAGAAGTAAGGTCGTGAAGGAAATCAAACCCTGATGTGGATAAATGAAACATGAGGCCTACTGACTTTCTAAAAACATTTTAAATAATATTCTCTAAGGTTTCATTTTATACTGAAGGCGATTGTAATATGTTTTGGAAGATGGTGTAAGGTTTCCATTAAAGCGAGATCATACTTGTTTTTTCTTTTTCTTTTTGTACCCAAACATGGGTAGGGGAGATGGAGTTGGAGCTTATTTAGTAAAGGGTGGAAAGCTTTATAAGTTTTCTCCAGGACTATAAAAATATTAACTGCTACATTAAACCACAATTTGCATTTCACTTTTTTTTTAAAAAAAGTATACCATTCCTACATCTGACAAGGCAACACACAGAGAGTGGCTTGTGCAAATATAAGAAGGTTGATGGAGTTGTGCTTTCTTGCATTTGTTCAGATCCTACACTTCCAAAGAGCTCTCCCTGTTTTTCTTATGCATTTCTCCATGAGGGAATTGTTGGAGTCCCACTTTGGAACTGTTTGTTCAGCTTAGCCTTCCCTGACGTTTAAAGCTTTGTGGATGTGATCCCTCTCACGCTGCCCTTACGTTGTTCGTTTTTCCTGGTGATTTGTATTTTCTGTCACTGGAAACCAATTTATGAGGTCATTGTCCTAAAAGAAGAAGTAAAATGTTTTAAGAATGAAATAATAAATACCTATACATTAGGAATATGTATCACTACAAAAGGTGAAATTCCCTCATCCTTGTAGTCTCTTCACCGAGTCTTGGTTAGACTACTGCAGTGCATTGTATGTGGAGCTGCCATTGAAGATTGGTCAGAAACTGCAGTTTGGTCCAAAATTCAGCTGCTAGAATACGAATTTAGACTGGGCATTGGAAACACAACTCACCAGTGCTAAAAGAACTGTACTGCCGCATGGTCCATTACTGAGTGCTGTTCAGAATTAGTACTTAAAGCTCTGCATTGCTTGGAACCTGAAGGCCCACTTTCCCCATACAGTATTAACCTGCCCACACATCTTCTGCAGGGCTTCCACTGGGTACCCCTGCCATCTTAGTAAGGTGAGAAGAGGGCCTTCTCAGTCATGACACCCTGTTTATGAAATTCTTTCCCAGAGAAGCCTTTTAGGTGCTTAAATAGATGTTGTTTTGTCACCAGATGAAGGGCTTTTATGTTCCCAGACCTTAACTATACCAGATCTTTTATGTTGGATGAATTCAAGTCATACACACCGTCCAACATACAGCTATGAAGTAATTTAAAAACAGCACTGCAAGAGCTACAAGTTAAATAAGGCTTCTGCTTTGTAGTATGTTGCCAGAGCTGCCTCAGTAAGTAAATTCCCCATAGGCATTTGCAGAGTGCCAAATATATGGCCTTTATTAAAGATCCTATTGTTTGGCAGTGTCATTATTTGCTGTTACACCCCAGTGTTGTGCTTTTCAGACAATTTTTTTTTTTGAAGCCAACATGTTAAAGGCTGCAGTCCTATACAAACGTACCAGAGCTTAATCCCATTGTACTCAGTGAGCCTTACTTCTGAGCAGACATGTATAGGATTGCACTGCATGGCAGACAATATGCTATTTGGAATTTGGGTGGTTTTTAATGTTTCCTCAAATCACCATAATTTAGTTTTAATAATTAATGTATCTCTGAAAAGGTAGAGGACCCCTGACAGTTAAGTCCAGTCATGAACGACTCTGCGGTTGCAGCGCTCATCTCGCTTTACTGGCCGAGGGAGCCGGCGTTTGTCCGCAAACAGTTTTTCCAGATCATATGGCCATCATGACTAAGCTGCTTCTGGTGAACCAGAGCAGCGCATGGAAACGCCGTTTACCTTCCCGCCGGAGCGGTATCTATTTATCTACTTGCACTTAGATGTGCTTTCAAACTGCTAGGTTGGCAGGAGCTGGGACCAAACAATGGGAGCTCACCCCATCGCAGGGATTGGAACCGCTGACCTTCTGATCGGCATTGGGTATGCTGACTGGAGCTGATGGAAGTTGTATTCCACTACATCAGGAAGGCGAAAAGTTCCCAACCCCAGTGGGTTTTTCAAAAGAAATGAACAGTCCAAAAGAAATTGTGTGTAATTTGTTTACACTTACAAAAAATAAAGCACTTAATAAGTTTTTCATTTCAGGTGTCTAATTGTTTGATTTATTTTCCTGTTTATTATAATTTGCCCTGAGATGAGAGGCAAAATAATATCAGATAAATAAACAAACATGTAATGAAACAGAACAAGAACAAAAAAGATTGCATTTCTTGACATGTGAGATACTCTTGAGTTCCAAATACCGTCAAAGAAAATCATTAGCTTCTAATCCCTTAATGGTGTTTTCTTCCCAATGGCATAAAATTACTGCTGAGTCTTAATACTTCAAGATTGCTGTGAAATAATTCAAGCTGATGAATAAGAACATACAGATTTTGCCAAGAAGCCAATTCAGTATTCTCCCCGATGACCATCTTGGAAAAAGACCATTGTGCATCATTTCACGATGATGGATGATGGAACTTAATAAGCTGACCCTTTTATGTTTGGTACCAAGTCTTTCAAAGGCCCAAACCACAGAATGATCTCATGAGTTCAGAGCTTTGGAAAGCCCTTTGGAAAGCCCATTATTAAAAGAAATAATAGAAGTTGTTTTTTAGAACAGTAGTTGCCAGTTGTGATCATTACGCAGAAGGCCACACAGTGAGCTCTAGGCATACAGTGTGGCTTCTGAAGCACATCTTCTAAAAGCAGTTCCCTAAAGCTGAGAGTTTCAAGAGCTACTACCTACAAACCCGGGTATGAATATGAGGTAGTAGTGGTTGCTGGTGAAAAACCGCTGGTACTCTGGTTCATGTGAGGTATTGGTCCTATGCACTGATGGTACCCTTTGGGACAGACCCAATAGGCCTAATTGTGGAAAATCTATAATGGTTCCTTGACTGAGGTTGTTACATAACCAACATGTATATGAGATGATGCCATATATGTTCTTTGCAGTAATGTTATTATCAGTACTATTAATAGTTCGTGATTATAGTTTACAATTAGTGAATGCCTCCTATAATAATATATATTAATTGATGCTCATTTTAGTCTTTTATTCTTTTTTTTTAAAAAAAAAATACTTGTTTTTGGTAGCATTTTTGTTTGGTCTTTGCTTCTCTTTTCCCCTTCTATGTTTATATTTTTGCCTAATTACACAATTTCCAGTTACAATATACCTCAGTAAACCCTCACCGAAAGGATTTGGCAATACAGTGGTACCTCAGGTTAAGAACATAATTCGTTCTGGAGGTCTGTTCTTAACCTGAAACTGTTCTTAACCTGAAGCACCACTTTAGCTAATGGGGCCTTCTGCTGCCGCTGCACGATTTCTGTTCTCATCCTGAAGCAAAGTTCTTAACCCGAGGTAATATTTCTGGGTTAGCGGAGTCTGTAACCTGAAGCGTATGTAACCTGAAGCGTATCTAACCCAAGGTACCACTGTAGATTTGACTTCAGATTAGGACACACTTAATTCTTTTTTATTAAGTCAGTGAATCATAATATTGTTTTCTAGTTTGACATTAATTAAAATCAATTACCGTACAACTGAAAACGATAGATGATAGATAGATAGATGATGGATAGATAGATAGATAGATAGATAGATAGATAGATAGATAGATAGATAGATGATAGATAGATATAGATAGATAGATGATAGATAGATAGATGATAGATAGATAGATAGATAGATAGATAGATAGATATATAGATAGATAGATGATAGATTTCCCTCACCCCATATAGTAGGGAACAACCCCAGAGAGTGGTGCTCTCATGTTTGATACCACATAAATAGAAGTTTCTGTGATTTAAAAAAAGTATCCTTAGTTAATTGTGCCCTATTTTCCCTTCCCCCACTTCATACAGTCTTCTGCTCTGTGCCATCTTTTTTCTTTTTCTTCTAAAAGGCTAGTCTTTAGACAGCACTCCAACTGGAGTATTCAAGCACCTCCTTTGAAGTGCAGTTTTTGTTCTACGTTTTGGTTACAGCGTTATTTCAGTGAAGTCAGCCAACAGGCTTACAGGGCTTTTTGGCTCATGTTCACTAACAGTTTTCTTGGCAGTGCTGCTTAATTCTGCTTCTTTATACGTTTCTCTCTCTCTCTTCTCCCCCCGCCCCATCTTTGCTTCCTGACAGAGCGATCGCCTCACAGGCCTATCCTACAAGCTGGCCTACCAGCAAATACTTCCGCAGTTGTTGGGGGTGATGCAGAGTTTGTCTGCAAAGTCTACAGTGATGCTCAGCCTCATATCCAGTGGATAAAACACACAGAAAAGAATGGAAGTAAATATGGGCCAGATGGATTGCCGTACCTGAAAGTTTTAAAGGTGAGCTCCCCCCCCTTATTTTCTTTTGAACAATAAGCAATTCTTTTTAAAACGTTATAAAGCTTTTTGAACAAGGTCAAGGGATAGATTTTTTAAATTGACTTTTATCCTTGCCAGCACACATAAATATAGTGGAATACTGAGTTGTTGGTATAAACAAAAGCAAAAATTCATTCTGCATTTCACCTTCCTTAAAGTCTTTTATCCATCAGCATGATTGTTTGCTTATTTTTCAGACATCATGGTTGTTTAGTAAAAGAATTGCAGTGCCATTATCTTGGCATCACTTGAGATTTGTGCATTGGCAAAGAGTATCCAAAATAAATCAAAGGAAATATATTAAGAGGCTTGGACAACATTATAGGCCCTTCTGTAATGACCATATTTGTTGCCAAAGGATGTTGTCAGTGCTCATTTACCTTATGATAAAGATACTGAGTGTGTCCCCCAAGTGTGAACTATTGACTGGGCAATCATTTTAGGGGTAGCAGCCATTTTGAAAATATGTCATTTTTGCCTGGCTTTGGTCCTAAGGAACAGCCAATTTTATAGTAGTTATTTCCCATGAAGCTTAGCAGTAGAGCCAGAAATTAATGATTTTGCACAGTGAAGAAGCAAAAAAGGTAGTTTATCTGGGCAGAAGCTTTCCTGCCCCAATATTGTAAGAAATATTTCTTGCTGCTGCTGCTGTTGTTTTAAAGTGCAATATTTCAATGCTAGCATTTGTAGTAACTGGAAGACTCCTTCAAGTGTTTTGGTGGCGGGACCATGGTGGTGTCTACATTTGGGGCAGTAGTTACATTGTTCTCCTGTGTTATTGGTCTGTTCTAGCATTCGGGGATAAATAGTTCCAATGCTGAAGTGCTGAAACTGTACAATGTGACAGAGGCGGATGCTGGAGAATATATTTGTAAGGTCTCCAATTATATAGGGGAGGCCAACCAGTCTGCCTGGCTTACGGTTCTGCTAAAAAAAGGTAACGACGTCTGTTAAAGAAAGCTGGATGTAGAAGCTGGAAAAAATTGGTGCTTTGGGACTCTGCAGGCAGCTTGTAGGATAACTCCATGACCTTGGTGTATTTATAATCCTCTCTTGGAGATGCAACTGGTATTACTCCAGTAGCCATGGAAAAATTCCCACAAATACTGTTTTAGTTACCTCTTCTGAAACCTTTTGTCTTTTCTGTTTTTTCTTTGATGTATCATTTGTCTTCGTATATATTTTCCCCCAGCAGAATCTGAAAGATTCTGATCTGACCACTCTGAGTCTTCCTTTTGCACTGTTGCCTTCTACTTCTTTGTATTATATATTGATCACTGTTCTGGAAATCATAGCTACTCATTGAGGTTGGATCAAGTGATGAGGTGCTGCACATACCAGATGACCTCCAACGCCACGTGTCTCAGTCTGGTAGAAGACTGAACATGAATTCATTGAGACCTATCCTCTTGACGAGCCAGCATTTTATATCATTGTTTCCATCTTTACACAAGTGCTGTATAGCCATGTGATGGGTCTCATTTGGAGCTTTTTAATAGTGTGGTATGCACTTTAGCTTTGCAAAAAAGCCTCATGCTCTTTTAAAAATGCAAATATGTTAAATCGTAATATTTGAATAGAACTAATTCTCTTCCATGGTCATTCGGCATACATATAGAGGTCTTGATTCCTTTTGTTTACTTCAAGACAGTGCAGCAATACTTACCATCTTGCTAAGCAGGGATTGTTGAATTTTACATTCCCGTATTTGTAAATCCTATTGTATGCCTTCGTATAGTTAAAGCCATGGTCTTCCCAGTAGTGATGTATGGAAGTGAGAGCTGGACCATAAAGAAGGCTGATCGCCAAAGAATTGATGCTTTTGAATTATGGTGCTGGAGGAGACTCTTGAGAGTCCCATGGACGGCAAGAAGATCAAATGCATCCATTCTTAAGGAAATCAGACCTGAGTGCTCACTGGAAGGACAGATCGTGAAGCTGAGGCTCCAGTACTTTGGCCACCTCATGAGAAGAGAAGACTCCCTGGAGAAGACACTGATGCTGGGAAAGATGGAGGGCACAAGGAAAAGGGGGCAACAGAGGACGAGATGGTTGGATAGTGTTTTCGAGGTTACCAGCATGAGGTTGACCAAACTGCGGGAGGTAGTGGAGGACAGAGGTGCCTGGCGTGCTCTGGTCCATGGGGTCACGAAGAGTCGGACACGACTAAACGACTAAACAACAACAACAACATTGTATGCCTTATCAGCACACCTATTTCTCACCACATTGGGTGGCCAAAATTTTTTTTCTAGATAAGGTGAACTGTTCAGACCAACTTGTTTCCAGACTTTGGGTCATCATAATAGACCCAAATGTAAGCAAGTAAGCACATCTAGAAAATCCATTATCCATACATTTTATTTCTATGATCACTTGAAGCAGTAGTGGCCTGTTTACTTCTAGCACCAACTGTTTGTCTGGGTGTTCCTACCTGTGACAAACCTGCGTTTGGGTTCATGATGGATTCCTAAACTGCTCCATTATAGTTAAATCTCAGGTTTGACTTAAGTTATTATTTGAGGCGGTGATAGCCTGAGTTCTCCCTCAGCCCTTTGGTTACAAGGAACTCTTGGGGCTATATTTAACACAGGTTGTAATGAAAACACCTCTTTTTGAAGTCTTTTTGTCTCTTTATTTTCAGCCCTTCCCTGTATGTCTCTGAAATGTATGTCTTCATTAATCTGAAGGACATTTTAAGTGACATTACAGAATGTCCTGTCCCCTGTTCTTCTGTCTGTTTCATCTTTCTTTGTGTTTATGTCATTTTCTCCTCCAAACATTTTGTGGACAATTTTTTCCATGTTCTTTGATTGCATGCCTTCTTAGGTGGTGAGAGTAGGTTTGGTGAAGGGTGTTGATGATTCATTCCTCTCTGAGGTGAGCTGGGATCTGTTGGTAATTGCCTTTTGGTTGAGGGCTTTGTGGATGGGATCTCCCCCCACGGCTGTGCACCGGTCGTTTCTTCTGAAGTGCCAAGCTCCCCGTGGTTCCACTTCCCATCCACAAGAATTCCTAAAATGTCTAGCTTTTCTCTTGCTTCCCTTTTTTTTCTAGGCTGCCGGTGTTAACACCACGGACAAAGAGATTGAGGTTCTCTATTTACGGAATGTAACTTTTGAGGATGCTGGGGAGTATACATGCTTGGCGGGTAATTCTATTGGGATATCCTTTCACTCTGCATGGTTGACAGTTCTGCCAGGTATATTACTGCTATCTTTCAGTGGTTCCCCTACCCTTCCCCCTGCTTCATTGTTGATTGCTGCAAAATTAGCACAGCTTCTGTCTCAGAAGTGGACTTTTGGTTTCCTTTAAAATGTTCTCCGCCGCAGCAAAAGGCTGCACTTCAACTTAAAAAGATGAATTGTAATTTTTTCAAACTTCATTTAAACAGCTCCTCCCCCCAATTACCTTAATGTTCATTATAAATTTGGAAAAAAGAGGCTTTCTTTGACACTTGATTATATAACCAAAAGTCAACAATCATAAACTTCTCCCTGAGAGAAACTCAAAAATCCTCTCCTGGGAAGTTTTTAAAGGGAAATTTCAAAGTCGCATTTTATGAAATACCACAACCCAGTCAAATTGCCTGGGTTTACACATGTATATATGAGAATTGGCTGTGCTGAAATGTGATTACAGAAGCGGTGTTTTTACATATCTTTGGAATCAACTTGGTGTATCTTTAAATGTTGCATGTTCTAAGCAAATGACAGCTAATTTGCGTTTTCTGCAAAGCATGTATTGCCATGCTTGGATTGATGTTGTTTCTGTTTTTAGCAGAAACACACATTAATGCGCTTCATTGCCTGAAATTGGTTGTCTGTCGGAAAATATAGTTTTAGATGTCTGCACTAATTAAACTTTCTTGCTTTATAACTGTTGAATGCAGAGCAACTGCCGAATTACTTGCACAGTTAATAATTTGCTGGTCAATATATATATATTTTAAGTCTTAATGTTTTTAAAATATAGGTTTGGTAACTGCATGTGTTCATTAAGTACTGTGCTGCTATATGAGTTATTCTCAAGGTTTCTATGTTATTTCTTCTCTCTTTATGTAAGAGATAGCTTACATTACTACCATCTTTAACTATTAACCTTTGTGGCTTCCGAGGTGCATTCACCACTAAACAGGTAGTCAGTGCTTAAAGTTGCAGTTGCTTCTGCTTGCAGTGTTCTTTCCATATTTGCAAGCGCTTAAGCACCACTTCTTAATCAGTTTGAGTGAATGCTTGTATTAATACAGAATGAGACAGAAGAACATGTTGCAATGTGCATTGCTTGCATAATGACCAGATATTGCTGCAGAATGCTGATGGTGATGATTCAGAGTAATAAAGTAAAAGGATTAGGAACAGATTATAATAATAATAATTACAAATATCTTGACAAGTGCTTTGTCACAATTCTTATTTGCTGTCAAACCCCACATAATAAACTAAAGTGTCATCATTGCAATGTAAAAAATGGGAATGCTTTCTTAATTAGTTAAATCATGACTGAAAAATAAATTCTGTGCAATTACTTAATGAAGAGAATAACTGTAAAACTAGCATTGCCATTTGATGCCATTCACAGACTAGGTGCTGTTAAGATCTGAGTGTGATCTTGCATCCGTAGACTTACCTATATATGTGAATATATACCAATATATGTAAATTTTTTTATTATTATTTTTAAAAATGCATTCTCTTTTTGGTTCTGGAACTTAGTGAGCTACCAATGCTACCAATGAGTAGAATCTCATACTGTCCTCCTGCTATGGGACAGCCCAGTTTGAAGAATTCTTGAAGAATTTTGAAGAAAGCTGGATGAGTTTCTTTTTGAAGGGGGCAGGGAATATGCTGATACCTAAATCTGGTACTTGAGAACTGGCGTGGACCTAGTTAAGAGAAAGTGGTCATGGAGATCCACAGCAGTCTGCTGTTTTCAGAGTATCCAAAGATTAGTTTGGATACTCAATTCCTATGGACTTTTACAGCCCAAATCCTGTGCCTATTAACTCAGAAGTAAATCCCACTATGTTCAATGGGCTTACTCCCAAGTAAGTGTGCATAGAGAGGTGCTGTTGATACAAATTCGCTGTCCAATACATTTCAACACTTTTTGTGAATCCTGATTTTCAGTAGAAGTATTTGGATACCTAAACCAGGCCAGTTCATGCCTGAGCTTTGTTATGCTTCGGCGTCCCATAAGCCTTGCTTTTCAGCTAGCTAATTCAGTGCTTGTTTGCCTTTCATTGTGTGTTCAGGTGGCCCACAGAGTTAAACACAATGCTCTTGAAAAATTATTTTACTAAACCTGTCATTTGCTTCAGGCCAGAGATTGGGAGATTGGGATAAATATTGATTCATCTGGAGTGAATTATGTGCCCACTTCCCTGTCTCAAGCAGCTTGGCTAAAAAGAAAAATAGAATGAGAAGAAAAGGTGATCACAGGCATAATTTAAGCATCTAGCCTTTCGTTGTAAAGTTAAATAAGATCAGCTATTCATACCAAAGTGATTTTGTCCAGAAGTTCCTCACTAAGCTCGCTTAGCGGGGTAGCAGCCAGCTTAAGCCGACACTTTGAAAAATGGCTGTGTGGAGACTCTCAGTGTAGCTATTTCCACGCTGTGGAAATCAGCAGCGTTCTTTTATCTTGTGTAGTTCGTTGCAAACCTGGTGCGGGACCACTTGGTTTGATGTGTACTGCTGATTTGTTTTCGCTACCTTGTAATTCTTCCTCATGACTCTTCCTCCTTCGTGCTTGCACTCTAGGCCCTGTAGAAGACAAACCGTTTCCAACATCGCCAGACTACCTGGAGATAGCCATTTACTGTGTAGGGGTCTTCCTGATTGTCTGCATGGTGGTGACAGTCATTCTGTGCCACATGAGATCCTCCACCAAGAAGCCGGACTTCAGTAGCCAGCCAGCCGTGCACAAGCTGACTAAGCGCATTCCTCTGCGCAGACAGGTAACAGAAAGTAGATAAAGAGTTTAAAAAACCTATTATCCTATAAACAAAACAAGCCAGCAGATCGTTTTTCATAAAACACGTGGGACTGAAGTGGCACTTGATTGCTAAGAAGAGAGGCTGTAGCACTCCATTCTGCTTTGAATCCATAACTCCCTGTCTCAAGCTTGGTGTCTCAAAGAATCCTGTAGTGGTTGAGTGGAGACGCAAGGGCTCTCTGCTTAAGCTCAGAGGCACCCTGCTCTTCCACCAGGTCTGAAGCTAGGGAGCACAGCTGTTACAGTTAATGTTGGATCAAGGTGATTTCACTTGTGCGGTTCCAGAACCTGTCTTGTGTTCCTGAATCTCGTACTGGGTTCTGACATCAATAAACCACTAGGCCAAATAAAGCAGGGCTGCTGAAAATTATTTAATCTCAGAGCAGGAACTTTGATGCTGTAAAGTTGAGGAAGCGTGATTAAATCTCCAGTGGAAAATGAAAGGAAAAAAAAGCTTTTTGAGGATGTGGTAAATGTGAACACTTTTAAGAAACACAAGAGGTAAAATAGTATATGTTCAGGTGTGTCTTCCATTTGAGCTACTTATCAGATTAGCTGGTGCCACAGGCAGTGGAATAAAGGGGGAGTCACATGTTTTGCTAAAGCATCTAAACACAGGAACGCATCACTGGGAGGGAGTTGTGCTTCCCCCCCACTCCTCAATGTTTTCTCCCTTCCTTCCCTTCAAGTATTCCTGTGCAGAGACATTTCACATGATATATTTTTATAATATATGTTTGTTTCTAGAGAGGAATCGTATTTTTAAAAATAATGAGCAGGTCACAAGTGTTGTTATCCAGCAAGGTTGTAAATTTGGACATGGATATATATCACTTCAACTGAGCTGAACATTTGGTTGTAAAATATATTCTATTGTTTCCTTTGTAAGAAGGCAGCTTTTCCAAAAGTATGTATATTCAACGCAAATAGGACTTTCAGGAGTTGAATGCTTTGTTTATATTCAGTTAGTGGATATAGTGATTTCTGAACATGTTGAAGTGGGGGGGGCAGGGGGAGCTCGCAATATTTCAGGAATTTTTTTGTGCAATGATTTAGGCCTGCAGAAGGAAGCAGGGTTAAGAAAGAAAAACTGAATATTTTTTTGAAAAATTGTATTTTTAAAAAAATCAGGTTATTTCCCATCAATAAGAGTACCTGCTATTTCCTGTGTTTAATCAGATTTCAGTGGAATTGGAATGTGTACAATGATATGTTTTTGCTGAGTATAATTAACGAGTGCACATTTGGAGCTTTATTGAATCATGTGTCCTCTCCATGTGTCCTATTTCATGTCCTATTTCAATCTCACCTATATTAATGCTTGCCCGTCAAATCGTCTTTGTTGTTTCAGCTACTGCAAGTGGGAGGTATGTAGAAAAAGACAAACTTAACTGCAAGTGTCGTGAATTTGACCAATGAGGCTTTGTTGAAGCCTTATTTGGATTCTCTGCTCAGCCTCTTCCCCTTTCTCTAAGGCTTCAGGGACTACACCACAGGATATAGAATGCCTGCTCCAATACTTTCTGGGAGCTATTGGAAAACTCAGGGTTTGGGTTTTGCTCATTCGGAAGATCTAACTTACTGCTATGTGTGAGCCAAAGAGAACTTACTATCAGACCGACTCGTCTTTTTCTACAGGTCTTTTTCAGCTGTCAGCTCCTCCATACTTGCAGCACACTGCTGCCTAGGTAGAATGGTTTGATCAGGGAAACAAAAACTGCTGGCCATGCCATGTAGGAGTAGGCTAGACTGAATGGACCTGTTTCCTTCTATGACTGATTCCTCATCCCAGCTGAGAAAAAGAGATACGTATCGGTTATAGTTTAGATATACGTAAACGCTAAGGCTTGCATGCCATTGTAGTTTTGCACTAGTGGAAATTTCTGATCATGCAAGGTGACATTCCTGTTTTGTGCTGATCTCTCCTACTTATTACAGCTCTCTGTGCCATATGCCATGCTGTGGTTACTGCTAACTATAGTTTATTTAAGCAAGCCAGGATCGTTTACTGGTAAAATTGGCTTGTTTCAATAAACTACAGTTAACACTAATCACAGTTCTCAACTGGAAGCGAACAACAAACTATGGTTAGGTGAAAATGGAAGCAGGTGCTTCTGTGTTCCTTGTGGCCAGAGAGGAGCAGAAAAGGGAGTGCATGAACCTAAGGTTCATGTACTTTATATGTGAACCAGGCCAATGTGTATCTGCCCCTGGAAAGTTGCCCAATTAATTTGCACCCACAAGGTGTCACTTGAAATCCCATGGCATAGGACAATTATTCTCTGACTTAATTCTGCTTAAATTAAGAGTCTTAGAATTTAGACTCAAAGGCTTCCCAATTGCCTCTATGTAGCTGGCAGTGTGGCCAAAGTCTTGCAGGGAGCCGACTTAATCCACTTGTAGAATTAAAATGCTTTAAGCAATTGTACGAGAGACACTTATTTCATCTACTCTTATGGAATACTAAACTTTGTATGTGGGTGCCATGTACACGTGCATGCATTTGCACAATCAACGTATGCCAGGAAAATTTGAATGTTGTATTCTCTACTAAAGAGAGCTTTCAGTCTAAGCCCACTTAGAATAGGCTATTTGTATCAGCTCTGGAATAAAAGGAGATTATTGGGCTTTGACTGGAATGAAAGCAGCAAGATGACCTGATCATGTGGTGATGACAGAGAAAATACCATTGGTATATAATCCATCTGTCAGTGGTCAGACCATGGATTGTCATAAACTCACCATTTTTCCAAAGGGCAGTTATCCCAGTCTGTTGGTTTGTTAAATACTCTTTCATCATTTGTCTCTTCCTTCGCCAACAGCAGACTTCACTGCCATCATTTGTCATGCAGTTGCACAATGAAACTCCTCTATTAACCACCTTTAAAACATTGTATTCTGCACGCTTATGGTAAACTTGATGCACTGTTGTTCATGTTCTGGTTTTGTTGAGTAGCTGACATTTCAGTTTTCTTACCTTTTTACCCATGTAAAGGAAATACTCCCCAACTGAATACTTTTCTGGTATCAACTGGTAGTTTTAGAAATGCTTCTGTATGTTGTTCCAAGTTTATTCCATTCCATGTTTTCAGGTGCAGCCACTGCTAAACTTTGGATTGTGAAAGTATCTGCTGTAAGCATTGCAAGGAAATGTGTTTCTATTTTCATAGTTCTCAATACATTTTTGCGCTGAAGTAATGCTCTCTGCCAACAGCAGCAGTTAGAGAAATCATGGTTTCCAGAGGCAAAGACTAATGTACTTAGATTTTCAGAAGTAACTGTTTAGTTTCTGTACATTAAAGGTTAGGGTTTCATACATTTGCTGTGAATCTGAACGAGTTAGAAAAACAGAGGGTGTTTTGTTTAACAGGCGTGTGTTCCTGGATTAGTTGAATAGGCCTATTTTTTTGTTGCAATGCACTGAGTCCCCGCAAGCCCTTGGTTGTATTTTTGAGACTTGTTTCTTTTCCTTTTTAAAAAACCTTTAAGAGAGTTGGCAGTAACCTATATATCAGTTCAGTCAAATAAAAAGTCGCAGAGGGTGTTCTTCCATACTTTTGTGCTCTGTAGCATTAGGAGTAAATAACCTGATTACCTTTGAACAGGATTTACGGATCAGTTAGTTTAGGTGACTTGGAAGTTGTAGAGAAGGTTGATGGCACTCTTACTTTTTAAAGCTGAGAAGCAGAGTCCCAAAGGAGATTATTTGTGTACACTTGGGGGCTTGCAAGAAGTGATGCCATAACACAGAGAGATCACCTTTCAGGTTTCTCAAAAGGATATAAGTCGCAGTCCTATGCCTACTTACCTGGAAATACATTCATGGGACGTAGCATTAGTTGTCAGTAAACATGTATAGGATTAAGCCTCAAACTTTCCAAAATCACAGTTTGTGGTATGGGAATTTCTGGTATACTGAGTATAAGGCATCCTCCATAAGGCTGAGGCTAACGGGAGTTGTGATCCAAAACAGCTTCAAGACACCAGGCTGGCGAAGGCAACCATGGGCTTTGTGGGCCTCACTGAAGTTGAAACATCATATTAAAAGAAATCAGTCTTCCAACGGATTAGTAATTTTTTTTTTTTTACAGATTTGAGTACAGTACTTAAGTAAGTACTTAATTCATTCTGGAGGTCCATTCGTAACCTGAAACTGTTCTTAACCTGAAGCACCACTTTAGCTAATGGGGCCTCCTGCTGCCACTGCGCCGCCGGAGCACGATTTCTGTTCTCATCCTGAAGCAAAGTTCTTAACCCGAGGTACTATTTCTGGGTTAGTGGAGTCTGTAACCTGAAGCGTATGTGACCTGAAGCGTATGTAACCCGAGGTACCACTGTAGTGATGTTGTCATTTTAACTTTATTAGAACAGTTATAGAAATGTGCAGCTCTGCCTGAAAATGTATAATTGCAACATAACATCCTAAAACTACAGTGGTACCTCGGGTTACATACACTTCAGGTTACAGACTTCGCTAACCCAGAAATAGTATCTTGGGTTAAGAACTTTGCTTCAGGATGAGAACAGAAATCGCACGGCGGTGGTGCGGTGGCAGCAAGAGGCCCCATTAGCTAAAGTGCTGCTTCAGGTTAAGAACAGTTTGCAGGTTAAGAACGGACCTCCGGAAGGAATTAAGTACTCAACCTGAGGTACCACTGTATATAACTCTGTCTGTGTGTGTGTGTGTGTGTGTGTGTCTGGAAACAACGTCTCCTAAGAATGTGAGGTGAAGATCTCTGAAATATGGTGGTTTTGTTTAAGGAGCCATGGGGTTGTTCCTTCTGCTTGAATGGCTGAAGCCCTGAGCACGGATGTTGTAGGTTCTGTATGTATGAGGTTTGTACAAAAGCCCTGTGTGCTTTTCCTTCATTTTACTTTCCCTAGCTTTCACATTCCCCCACATCCCTTTTGCCATGTACTCTGATGTGGAGAGATTTAAATAATGAGGAATCAGGAAGGAAGATCTGATACTGCTAGTCTGATATTAAACATTGATGTTCAACTTGGGGCTGTAGACATGTTTTTCCTCCTTTAAATATTCTTATTTCAATCCAGAGGCCTGAAATGATCTGAAGGAGCACCTTCTACCATGTGAGACGTCTCACTAGAATTTCACCCTAGCCCCATCCTCCACTGAGTCCTGCAGAAGGTTGGCTTTGAGGGAGTGTAACTCTAACTTGAGTTGAAAAAAAGGCTCTAAGAAGCAAATCTGTGTAAAATGAAATAACCTATAGAAAGTGAAAATGCCCAGGCATTTTTCTTTTTTATTTCTCAGTTGAAGAACAAGGCTTTTAAAAGTGTGGACTGGTCCCAGAAGGCCTTCCTAGACCCTGGGCCAACTTGTGCTGCTATACTCTTCTTTTTCCAATGGACAATTTTTTTTAATAGTCCTTCAGCTTCCATAATACCATGCTCTGCTCCAATGAATCAATCAAAAATACATTACCTTTGAGACTGGCCCGATCCTTTTTTAAAAAATAGCTAATGCTGAATATTCCTTCTAGAATGGAGTCATTTTTTTGTACGCAGTCTTGGTATTTACGCTGAGGACTTGTTTGATGTTACACTTACTGGTGAGTTTGCTCCCCTCCCTGCAAACATAGACTGAATTGGCAAAGTGTTCCTTCAAGCTTTTCCTGTAACGTCATCATGTGCAACACAGTGTAGCTATGGATTTAAAGTTTAAACAGGCTTTCCCCAGCAAAACTGCACACCACTCTTCTCTGTCTAGGAAAACAAATGATATGACCTTTGAGATAAATGTTGGTGAATTGATATGTGAGTGGTGAAATGAGCAGATTTCAGATCATTTTCCAATATGTATGAGGTACCATGTAAGGAATCTATATTTACTTTAAAACAGTCATAGTTCAGTACTCTGGAAAACAGTGTCTGGCTTTGGGCAGGCTGTCTAACATCATTCTGTAGTAGTCCAGATTGCCTATTCTCTTACTCAACATAGAGTTGGGTTGGACTGATTTTGGCCAAGTTAGTGCTATACTGAATTTCTGCCAGGTTTGGATTCACATTAAAAAATTCCCAAGCAATTTTGTAGTGTCGTAAGGGCAACAACTACAGTTTGGCACAGTTTTGCACATCACATAGTATATAAAAAAAAACTGGTTTAAAGTGGATGAGAAGTGTGTTGACATGTTAGTTAGCATGCTAAATTATGGAAGGGCATGGTTTTAAAATATGGTTTTGGAATAAGATTAGGGAAATGCATTGGAGATTGAGACTGCCAATTCATGGAGGATCAGTGGCTGCTAATCATCATGGCTGCGAACTGTCGCCATTGTTGGAAGCGATATGCCTTTAAATACCAGTTGCTAGGAAGCAGAGGTGGGAACAGTGCTGTTGCATTCAGTTCCTACTTGTGGACTTCCCATTGGTTTATGGTCGGCCACTGTGAGTATAGGATGTTGGTGTAGGCTGGCCTGATCCAGCAGGGCCTTTCTTACACTGCCCCAAAGTTTACGCAATGCTCCTCCTATAGTCCTGTTGCTGCCACACTGCAGACAAAACATGTCAGAGTGTGACTTGTCATGTAGTCCAAGCTCGGGTTCTTGGCTTGTTTTTCATGCAAACAAATCATCACCAGTAAGCTCAGAACCAACCTTGGATTGTTCACATTAAATAATAGTTTGTTTTAAGCTATGGTTTAGCATGGCGTGCAAACCAATCCTTTCCACCATGCTCAGTGCTCTCCTTTCTCATAAGAGTTTACACCGAAGTTATGTATCTATTTGCATTTCTCTACCAATTTCTCTCATAATCTGCCCTTTCTCTTGAAACTTCATGGTGAGATCTCAATACAGTTCAAGACAAAATGAAATTAAAATAAATGGAAAGATTTCAGAAAATAAAAAATGTGGAGCTACTGCTTGGAGCCAGTTAGCCATCCTATCCATTGTAGCATGTTAAGTAAGCATGTTTACATTGTTTACTTAAGCTGTAGATGTTTGAATTCAGGCTAGATTGGTTTTTGGCGTGTCATTGCAGCCATTCAGAAAGCTATGTTGTACCAGGTCAGCAGGTTCTAAGTCACAGTGAATAGAAGATTCCAAAAATATACAGGAGGTGATATTTTCCTTGAAAATAACTTCATTTGTTACTCTGGTGTTTGGAGCAAGTTTGAAACCTTTCAAGGTGCGTGTAAAACATGTAGAAATTGATAAAATAACTTGCATGCAAAGTCTTAATAAAATGTTATATCATGATTAAGGTCAGGTATCTTGTGTTAAAAGATGTGCAGTTTCTAGTTTGGGTTGGGACATTGTAATCACCTGCTCTTCAAGTACTTCTTGTCAAGTGATAAAGAAAACGTTTGGCACGAGAACGTCCATCTATCCTTCTAACAAGATAGTAGGCTATGGGCTGCAAAACATTTCAACATCCATCTGGAAGGAAGAGGTAGAGGAGGAAAAAGCCTATTCATTTCAGAATTATCAACCACCAGATTGTGTTGCATAGAATGGCACTTCCATGTATTAAGTGGCATCATTGCTTGGTCTTATTCCAACAGTGTTTATGAAAACAAAGTTCCTTTGTCCAGTTTTGTTAAGTGGTAAGTATTGTGAAGCCACTTCAGTTTCGGAACTGCATTGCACATTCAATGTGTTCTTTTGCTAAATGACCGCAGTAGGTGTAGGTAACCCAGCTGAAACTGCACCCAGACAAATATTGAAGCAGTGATCGGCAACGGAAGGCTTACAAGTGTGTGTGGGGGGGGAGTAGAGACACCAGGATAGCAAACGATCAGCCTCCCTGGCGCCCTTTTTCTAGTTTCAGATTTGAGGCGTTCCTGAACCTATTGCAAATGGAATTGCATGTTGCAACAGAGAGCAGGGAAATGTTTGTTTCGTCTTTCTACAACTAATGGGGAGGTTGTGATGACCTCATACAGGTTCAGGCATGCTGACTGTTGTTTGTGCCTCTTAGAGTGTGCTGCATGTGCCCTGTACTGGAACACTCTCTGTAGGCTTGCATATTTCTGGTGTGTATCATTATGGCCAAATCCATATGTTATGTCATCGGGATGAATGTTACCCACAAGGCTTTCAGATGGCCGGTGTGCCGCCAGCCCTATGGAGATTGATGGGATTGCACTGTAAGTCTCTACATCTGCCTCCATGCCTGGGGCTGGTTGGACACTGAACCGTGCTGTCCTGCTGATCCTTGGGGAAAACCTATTATATAATAGCATCCAGGAATCTTGACCCTATGGAATTGTTTTGTTTCTGCAAACACCCTGCCAGTTTCATGTTTGAATCAGACATGAGCAGTCTTCATCCATGCAGTATTTTCTTTTAGCCCTCTGGACACAATTCATACTGGAGTTTTTAATCCGGCTGTGAAGATCTGAACCATTTGGATGCAAGACACCATAGAAACATTTCTCCTCTTCTGATACTTTGCAAACAGTGACCATATTCCAACAGTCAGATCTCGGCTTAATCAGCTGATATATGCATGAGCTTCATGCACTAGCACACAGCCCCCTTTGTTCCTGTTTCACTCTTCCTTTCACAGAAGTGGTGAAACAAGGCAGGAAGCCAGAGTTGATATGAACTTCCTGACTTGTTGGAATCTATTAACCATAGTTCCCTTTTTGGATGTAAGCAGAAGCTTACTGTGGCTTCCTTGGTCACTCAGATAAATGGGGAAGCAAAGGAACTGCCTGCAGGTGCATAGCTCTCAGGCATATCTCAGCTTACTAAGGGGAGTTGCGATCATTCAAAAGTGGCTGCTGTTTACTCACTGCAAACACACCTATCTGTAAGATTGACCAAGAACACTCTTATCAGTACTATTGGTGATATAGAAAAAGATATTGGTGTCCATCACTAGAGAGTCCAATAGTTCCTAAGGAACTTCCAAAAATTATGTGAGAACTTCGTATTCATATTGGCCTGTTGTCATTTTGATCTGTAGAGTAGTGGAGATTTAAATTTTGTTAGGATTTGACAGACTCTTATTATTCAAGTAGTAGTATTGGAGAGGTGCTATAACTTTCCCTGACTGTGTGGATTAAAAGTTTACTAAGTAAATGCATCAATATCTGAACAGATATTTTGTTTGCTGTTAAATAGGAAAATAATATTTGGATACCTAGGATAATTCAAGTGTTTTTTAGCAACACAGTAACAACACTTTTTTGGCTGAGTCACTTGGTACTATAAACCCAAGGCGTGACAAGTTCCTTGTATGTACTGATGAACATAATAAGGTTGCTTCAAATTTTAAAAAACACATATGGATGGAAAACCACTTCTAGTTGTGCTTAATTTTTTAAGAGAAAAGTTACCATAAAGAGAGAGCAAGAGAGAAAGAGCGCTCTCTTAAAAAAATATTCACTTGCAGAGTGAGAGAGGAAGATGGTTACAAACAGTGACAGTAATGCAGTTATCCAATTATATCAGAATATTAAAAGTTTGGGTTTGTAGCCATAACTCATCTTAATATGTAGCCAGTTAGCAGAAGTAAGGCAAAACTGATCGGAACCCTGAAGTCATGTTCAAGTGCAGTGCCTTAGTAGCCGAGTGCCATTTATGACCTGGCTTGGTTGCTCTCTATTGCCAGTTTGCAGTAATTGGACCAAGATTACATCTTCGTTTTGCATCTTGTATTCTCATAACAGGTGTCTGCAGACTCTAGCTCCTCCATGAACTCCAACACACCTTTGGTGAGAATAACTACTCGTCTCTCCTCCAATGCTGATGCTCCAATGTTGGCAGGAGTCTCAGAGTATGAACTGCCAGAAGATCCAAAATGGGAGTTCCCAAGAGATAAGTAAGTGAAATTTTGCCATTTATGGTATTTCAATAGCTCTGATAACTGTGGAGCAAGGAGACCTCAGTCCATGCTTCCCATGCTCTTTTCATTTACAGTTCTTCCACTTATGTCATTTGCGTTTTCTGATGCTAAGGCAAACCATAGTAGTGGGGCCTAGGCAAATTATAGATATTTAAATTTAAGACTTTCCTCTGAAGAACGTAGTATTCCTTGCGGAGATACTCTCTTTATTATCAGCTTCCTGCCTGCACATGCGTATAAAACAGCAAAAAAAATGAGAATGACCTTAATGGAGAAGTATATATATTTCTTCTTGTTTGAATGCTAGCTCCATTATTTATTGTTCGACAAAATGTTGTTTGGTTGAAAAATGGACAAAGAAACATTAAATTAATTCCCAGAAATCAGTGGACACAATTTGCGGCCCATCATATTGACTTCCTCCCCCCCCCCCCAGACTGGTACTTCCAGCAGCCATGACAAACTAAAAAAAATATTCTTTTTTTAATAATACAAACTGATATTTTGTGGATTCTCTTATGCATCCTATGTGTCATGTGCTACCTTTCGCTTTTGGAATGCCATCTGTGATGCATCAATAGGACTAACACGATGGTGCATCAAGAGGGCTAAGGGGCTTTCAAGCAACATGAGCAAAGCTTTCCCCACTGCCACCATGAGCTGATATGGAGTTGCATTCAACAGTAGCGCTCAGTTGACACTACAGTTTCTGTCCAAAGAATGTATAGCAGGCATAGGCAAACTCAGCCCTCCAGATGTGTTGAGACTACAATTCCCATCATCCCTGACCACTGGTCCTTTTAGCTAGGGATGATGGGAGCTGTAGTCCCAAAACAGCTGGAGGGCCGAGCTTGCCTATGCCTGATATAGAGGGAAGCCATTTCCAGTAATTCCCCATTTCCCTTTCAGTCTTCTCTAAATCAGTTCCACAGGCCTGGGGGCACCCTCCAGAATGTATTTGGAGGGATACTGGGGGCCGTAGGGGAGAGGAAGAATCACTGAAAACTACTCCCCTGGACAAGCTTACTGTCAGCTGAACAACACTGTTGGATACAACCTACGCTCTTTAGTGCCTAGTGTATGCTAAGCTTATAATATTGAAATGAAACAGGACACACATTAAAACTAGGAATAATTTTAATTAGTCTTGAATTTATAGGAAAAAATAGAAACATTTTAGAAACTGTGCTACAGTTTGAAAACTTAAAACCACTTTTTTGAAATTTTACCTTTTATTTTATTTTATTTTTGAAAAAAATAGGGAAAAATTATTTTATGTTTATTTATGGAAATAGGCTTAATTATGTGGATGAAAGATGGTGCCATGCATTCCACGTGCCACCTGCAAGATTCTAGTCAACAGTGGGGGTCTGTCAATATAATTCTGTCAGCCCTTTCCCTTAGGGAAACATTAATGCGGAAAATCTTAGAGCATTAAACATTTGAAAACAGCATTCAGCATAAATGTGGGTGGAGAGGGTTTGTAATGAAAGAAGGCTCTTTAAGAGCAGTTTATTAGATTGGGGTCCGCAGAAACACAATGACAGAATTGTTGTGTTCATATTAGAAGCACAAGAGCACATAAATTAACCATTTTCCAATGCAAATGTTTGCTTTCTGCCAAGATCTTAAATTCAATTTTGGTTTGGGGAGGGGGGGGGGAGAATGCAGCATGATCTCAGCACAAAACATACAACTCTTTGGTCTTTGTGTATTGTCAAAGTAGCATGCGATTTTCATAACAGATATAGCCCAGTGTATACATTCACATTAGCATGATTAAACTGAGAGCTTTTTTCAATTAAAAGCCCCCCATTTAAACTCATCCCATTTGATTTTTAATCATGGCATTTTGCCAAGCCCACTTAATTTTCTCCAGGAGAGAATACTGTGGACTCCTCTTGCACCAGACACATTGCTAGAACTAGTGGAAGAGGTAGGCAGTAGATAATAATAATAATAATAATAATAATAATAATAATAATAATAATTTATTATTTGTACCCCGCCCATCTGGCTGGGTTTCCCTAGCCACTCTGGGCGGCTTCCATAGAAACCAAAAAACACTAAAATATCATACATTAAAAACTTCCCTGAACAGGGCTGCCTTAAGATGTCTCTGTAGAGACTCTGTTGTTAGTTTAACATATGGTCTGTGCTTAATTTCTAATTGGAGATTTTTAACAACAATAATTTCTATCTGTCTGCTGTGGAAAACTGAAAAAACAATAGTCAAAAACACAAAGCAAATAGCAAAGAAAACAAACAAAGCTGCATATGAAAAACAGGATCACTCATCCCCGATTCATTTCAAGATAAATTCTTGCTCCAGGAAGGGCGCCTTTTACAATGAAGTAAAGCAGTTGGATCACCTTTGCAACGTTGACAAACAAATACCTTCCTCTCAGAAATCTCTCTGAATTCACAGTGGTAAAATGTACGTCACAAATAATGATTCACTGTATAAAGGTTTTCTGCCTTCATTCATACAGGAAGTTCTTTGGCCATTAGTATCAAGAGGGTGAGGAGATTCTAGTACCATTGTTGTAAAGTTTACAACACTTTGTGTCTAGATATGTTGGGAATAATGAATTGGCCTTATTTTCTTACACAGCCAGGGAAGCCCTTCTGTCTGGTTGCCGATGCAAATGCAGGGGCTAGTTGTGATTACTTAGTAGTGAAGAAAAAGATACTCTTCTCATGCTCTGTGGTGGTTCATATGAAGCACTCCCCAAAGTTGGTAGAAAAGAGAAGCCTCTCTAATTAAGCTTCCTTGTCACTTTGTGTCCTTTCTGGAAAAGGAAGGAGGGGGGAATTAAACAAGGCCACATCCACACCGTACAAATCGTACCATGTTAACAATCAGGGCTTCCCACTGAGAATTGTTAGGAGATTTCCTATTCCCCTCAGAGCTACAGTTCCCAGAGTTCCCTGGAAAGACAGATTGATTGCTAAACTACTCTCGGAATTGCAGCTCCTCTTTCTGCAAGTACATGAAGAAGGTCTGTCATGTAAGTGGTAAGTGCACACACAGAATTTGTTCCTCAGAAAACTCGCTAGAGGCGCGTGCACAAGCCCTGAAATCTAGTAAGACCCTTGTTAGTTCTTTACAACAAATGCTCTGGTCAAAAGTGGTCTGCTGAAAGATTATTTTATTTTTCGCTCTTGAGTTTCACCGACTTCATCTCCTCATCAGATGCCAGGCGCTAATCCTCTGTTTACATCCCTAGGTTGACGCTAGGGAAACCCCTTGGGGAAGGATGCTTTGGTCAAGTTGTTATGGCGGAAGCGGTGGGAATCGACAAAGACAGGCCGAAAGAAGCCGTTACTGTTGCAGTGAAAATGCTGAAAGGTAATATGGGGTGAAAGGGAGTATTGAGCGAGGTGGCAGGTTCTGTGAATAATGTTTCTTTTGTGGCGTCCAAACTCTCTAACTGTAGAAGGCCAAAGTTCATTTTGTTCACCTCAGGCTTCAGCAGTTTTCGGTATAAATCAGTGCCTTTGACAGCCTATTTATCTTTAGCAGCAGGTATTTACAAGCAAGTCAAAGTCTTGGTACAATTGTTTATTCCTCAACTCTTGATTTGATCCACAGGGAAGTCTACATGCTTTCGTTTGGTTGGCTAAAAGTTACTGAAAGGCAACTGTAGCATAAATGCCTTAGGTAAACAAATGACAGGACTTGACCTAGTCTCTTTTAACACATTTAAAAATGTGCATGTGTGAGAGAGAGTGCAAACATTTGTAAAAGGCAATATATAGAAATATGATGGTGATGATGATATTTATTCTGGGATCTAGTATATGTTTATGTGTATGGGATTTTATACAATTGTGGGCTTTTAAATTTTGTAATTTTATCTTGATACTGGTCATTGACCGTAATAAAACAAATATAGTATACTTAGTCTGGGATCTTAATTTTAAAAATACATATTTATACTTATGCCTGAATAATGGCTGACAACAAACAAAATAGGTAATTCTTCAAATGCCTTTTGCCCAAACAAAAGCCTCCAGCATGATAGGGAATGCATATAAATAAAGAAAAAGACCATTTAGGATAACTTCTGAGTGACATATGCATCACTAATTATGGAGCTAATCCATTATTTGGTGTGCTATCAGTGATCTTGTATAAGTAATCTAAACCATTGTATGTTTATTATATTAATATAATAATATTTTTTTAAACTACTGAACACTGGAAAAAATAAAAATATTTCACATGAAAGTCTTGCCAGTAATTCTCTGATATGTTGTTTGCAACTGGGATATCTGCATTAAAGGTGCAGAGATGGGCAATTAAGGAGGTCTTAATTTAAAGTGTTACTGTTTTATATGTTCTGATATGACACAAGGCATATCCATCTCCTTATGGTTTTAAGTTTTATGGAGCTGGAGAACCACAGTAGGAAATTAAAGCTTATATAAAATGGTTTCTGAAGTTGCTTGAACTGGTAGAATTCCCAGACAAGAGACTGATAGGCATCACATTGAAATCGTAACATTTGGACCACATCATACAGTAGGACTTTTTGATGGTATATAATTTTCTGAAAATTATTTGTGATACAGTTTCCCTTCATACTGTATGTGTGTGTTTTCCTAATTTTTGTTATATGTTCTTTTGTTTTCATGGAGGTTTGCTCAATGAGAAGCAGAGCCCACAGCTTAAACAACAAAGGACCAGTGGTTTACTTTGTTGCTGGCCTTGGGAACCAGAGTTGCAGGGAAACAGTGTTACTATATCTGTAACTTAATGGCCTGTAAAGTACATCAAGCTAGTTGGATAGCCTGCAAGGAAACATTGTAGCAGGAAAAAAAAACAATTGTGCTGGTCCGCTAGTTTAAAACTGCTGGTGGAACTCATTTTGTCTTGTGCAGATGATGCTACGGAAAAAGACCTTTCTGACCTAGTATCCGAGATGGAGATGATGAAAATGATTGGGAAGCACAAAAATATCATCAATCTTCTTGGGGCCTGCACTCAGGACGGTGAGTGTCGTTTTGGTTTTACAAACCAAAGGTGGTGATATAGTGCAGTTTTTATTAAGTGACATACTCTTGTCTGTTAATTCTGTGCAAGTGTAACAAAAATGATACTGTGGGAGAGTGGAGTGGATAGCTGGATGCCATATTGAATTTGTTTTGAAAAGCTGCAGGAACTTGCATCTCTGGCTAAAAGGAGAGGAATATAGAAGCAATATTTGTCAACTATTTTTACACAGTACTTTTCTCCAATTCAAATGCTGGGTGGATTAATTTATGTATTTATTTGATTATTTTTCAGCCCGCCCATCTGATTGCTAGGGCACGTTACAATAACATTAATTAAGTTCATTCTAGGGGTGGGCAGACTTCAGGCGTTTGGGATCTACTTTGTTTTTTCACTGGAGCCAGGTGCAGAACACTGGCTAGGGAAAAGACAACACTCTCTCAGAATTAAGGAACAGGGCACCTTTAAGGGGATGCTCAGTGCAGCAATGTCTATAGCCCTGCCACTTCAAAATCCACAATCCACTCCTGATTCCCTCCACCCCAGCTTTCATCATCACAGCAGCCTTCCTTAGTTAGAAGGGAAACAAATATTTTTGTTGTTGCTATTGTTCAGCAACTTGGAGCCAGAAACCTTGCTGATCTACTGCAACTCTTGCACAGCTCAACCGACAGAATGTGATCTGCATTCCTACTTTATTACAGCCTATTCTAACTCTTTGGTAACTGAAAGCTAGTGTTGTGCTGAACACTAGTTTCACAGTCGTTTTTGTTCCTGTTCATTTGATGGAACAATGAAGAGCAAATAAGATTCCAAAAAGTAGTCGGGAATGAGTGGGTGGAACTTCATGATGAAATCCATGTGCACAAGTTAGCTCTTCAGTGGACCTTCTGCATTTCCTTGACATGAAATACATGAGATGACTTTCACATGGTCAGAAATGGAGAGGAATAAAAAGTACAAGGCATGTTAAACTTCCTGCTCCTTTTGTTTTACCTAAACATCTCGTGCCAATCTCAATAGCCCTGTTCATATGCTCTTTGCTTTCCACCCCCTCAGTTATTGTCACATGAAAGGGAGAGCAAGGGTGAACTCGTTTGGCTCACCACCTCCCTCACATCTCTGCCAGCATTGCTGCAAACCCCATATGTTGGTGCTGAACATTTGCAGCTGGGAGCCTGCTGTTCAGTAGAATCCCTGTCTGATTTAGAAACCCTTTCTTCAAGTTTACTAGACTTCTGCATGGAGCCTACTTGGGTAGAAAAAGTTCCCTGCTGCAGACATTCAGACCCCAATATTTGTGGGACTGTACAAATGCTGAGAGAGATGGTGCATGTGAGGGGGTCAAGCCCATGGGTTCATCTCTCCCACCCCCAATGGAGGAGAGACCTGAACCTGGTTATTGAGCTTAAAGAATACAAAGCAGAAACTGCTTCACCTCCCTTCTGCTTTTGGTAAGACTGGAAGGGAGTTCTTATGATGAAGGCAAAATGTGGCAAGTGTGCATACTCTGCTTTGTGATTTTGTGTATGTTCACCTGGAGTAGGTGGATGGGTAGGTATGGCGTCATGGGGGGGGGGAGAGAATGTGAATGTTTGAAGGCAACTGATTTGAACTGAATGTATTAAAGAGTTGGGTGTGTTTCATACTCCAGTAACTTTTATTTTGTGAGAATCACCTCTTTTATTGAATTTATACTATTCTGCTCTATTTGGAAATAGTTCTATTTGTTTTATCATTGCAATGGTTTTATCTCTTTTTTATAATTGTATATTATATTGTTGCAACCTGTGAAGGGCAGGTGAGAAGTCTAATTAAAAAATAAACATGCTACTTGTACTACAGATAGAACATGGCAGCAGCATTTTGAGAAAAATCACCCAATGAATCAGAAAAGATGCATGCTACTATACTTTTATGGGTCTTTAGAATGGAATATATATATATTTGCTCCTGGTTTTCATTCATTCATATACTGTCTTATCTGCTCACTTTGAAGGACCACTCTACGTGCTGGTTGAATACGCTTCGAAAGGGAATTTGCGGGAGTACCTTCGAGCACGGCGGCCACCAGGGATGGAATATTCATTTGATATTAACCGGGTTCCTGAAGAGCAGATGACATTCAAAGATTTAGTCTCATGTACATACCAGTTGGCAAGAGGCATGGAATACTTAGCATCACAAAAAGTAAGCAACTGTTATTGAAAGATGGCAGCTTTGTGTTACCACATGAGCTTGCTCCTTCCTTCCTTCCTTCCTTCCTCCTTCCTTCCTTCCTTCCTTTCATCTACAAATTGCATTTTTGAAGAAACAGATCTGAAACATGAGATTGGCATCCTGAATGTCATAACACATTCTGAGTTTTATACTCATCTGCCTGTCCCAGTGTTACATCAAGCTTATGGGCATTGCTCAGGCCCAGAGACAATAGCAGTGCTCTTAACTATTTGGGCAAATGGGTATTACATTCTAAATTCCAGTGATGATTCCTCTGGTAGAAGGTGAGGGAGTCAACTCTGGAAATCTAGGGGAAATCCTGTTCCAGATGATGCAGGAAAAGTGGGACTGTAGGGGAATAGGAGGAGAAACCTCTTGTGGAATTGCAGAGTATTTCCAAATGCAGTTGGCAACAGTCATAGAATATTTTGCAAATTAGGTTGATCAGGGCTGCAAAATTAATAAATAAAAGCAAGTAACCCTTAGTGCTAAATAACTTGTCTACTCCTTCCTTTTCAAGTTTTTCAGTTTGATCCATTTGAAGGGCAGCTTCAGCTATTTTAATATTAATAGGCATTTTTACTAGCAGAATTGTTCATAGAGGCTCCAGTAAAGAGCTGCATTTAATTTGGAAGCAAATGTATGCGTAAGTAATCAAATGCCAGGTTATGCCGGCTAAGGTTTCTTTTAAAGACAGAACAAAGAAATCATTATTCGGCAAACAATATCAGAAAATGAACTTAGATATTCATGAATTCCAATATTGATGTGGATAAACTGTGAGCTGTTTAGCCAGGCAACAAAAGCATAACCTTGAAATTTGCCTTATTAAAGTTTACTAACTTACTGAATATGAAAGAGAGCGCCATTCATTTCCCAAGAGGTTTCAAGGGAATTCCATCTGCCGGCATTGGCTAATTGGTGAAAAGAAGCAGCAGCAATCCTGTGAGCAAATTAGTCATTTGTCTTCACTTAAAATATTTGCCTGCTGAGAAAACTAACTGCAATAGCATCATTTTGATATTCAGTCCTTGGAGATCCCTATTGGCAGATTCCTCCACAGCTAAACCTTAAATTTTTCTGTGCCTGTAAATACAGTGCAGTCCTCTGCTTAATAGACTAAATAAGGACGATGGTGGAGGTGCAAGGCCAGCTTTCTTAGTAACTGAGTCAGACAGAACATAATTGGCTTTGTTGTTGACTACAGTGTACTAGCACATGCTAATCAACATTCCTTTATGTGAGTTGCTTGTTACACCAGAAGTAGTATTTTCTAAATATTTTAGTCAGTATTTAAATTTTGCAGGCAGACATTCCATTTTTTGGATGCTGTGCTTGTGCACATAGTGCCAAACCATGGTTTAGCATCGTGTGGGAACATGGTCATTGTCTTTTTGGCATGCAAGCCAACTTCAGCTGTTTAAATAGAGAAATGCAGTTGCTAAGGGTGCACAAATCTTCTGCCCTAGAGAAGGAGAAACCGCATCCTTGAATGAATGCCAACCCCCCCAAAGAACTGAAATGGACCAGCAGAACGGAAGGTTCTGAGAGTGCAAGGCATTAAACAGATAGTAGTCACATCTGAGAAACTAAACAAAAGGGAATACATTCTGATTCTTTAAACAGCTTAATATTGACATTTCACCAGCTTCCCCATACCCTTACTTGCTCCTTAGGGCAGAAATAATAAGAATTTATATTTTCAGGATGTTCTTACCATCCAGGAACAGAAATACACTGAGAAATTCAGCGTGTCATCTTTATAACATGACATTACATTTAAAAAATGCAAATGCAACAGATTTTACCAGGCAGTTAAACTTGTAATGAAATAATGTTTATTTCTTTATATTATCACGCAGCCTTGTGGGACTGGTAAGCGAAAGAAAAGTCCCTCTTCCTCCCCTTTAATACTCCTTTGGCTTGACTGTGGTGGATAGATAGAAATCATTGAAAAATGCTTCCTAGAATTGAAAAAAACTGTAAGGTTTAAAAGGGTCTTACTGCTTCTGTGAGTCATGTAATGTGCTGCACCAGCAAGACTGTGCAATCCAGAGGTGGATTTAGGGGAGCACAGCTGGTTTGATTGCACTGGACCCACGGGGGAGGGGGATGCCACAACTATGATTTAGAACGGAGCATGAGAGGCAAGGAGATGCTGATTTTGCCGTTGCCCAGGGCGCCGCTGAAATTTGAGACCCCGAGATCTAGATCTGCCACTGTCATTTTGAAAATGATTTGTAGAATGAAAGAAAGGCCCATTCACAGTCTTGGCCACCTCAAAAGTAAGGTGACATAAACCCTCTGCACCCCACCATGTGAATTTCAATGATGTTTTCTCTCCCTTTTTGATAGTTTTTGAATGCAGGAAAAAATGCCTGGCACGGCACTAGTTCTGACTTGACACTCGGCCAAGGTTCATAGTTTGTTCCTTCCCTATGAGATTAAGGGGGAGCAAAACATTACCATAATGTGCAAACTGGACCACTGTTTTTGTTGTGATATAACTATTCTTCTGGAATTTAATGGCATTCCTTTAATTTCTAATATAGATCTTGATGTTGCTGGAATTTTATTACAATGTTTTATTTTATGGGTTTTTTATTTTAGTGGATCAAAGCCAGATCTGCACCTTGTGATTCGGATTTGGTTAAAAGAAATAACATGACAAAGAATACTTTCTGTTTAAAAAGTCCATCCATAAGAGCATGTAGTGTTGCACTGTGGAAGTATGATATCCTGGACCAAAAGAAGAGGGGTAGAAAGTTTCACAACATGTTTCTCCTGCTGCCTCTTATTACTAATGACAGAAAAGCTTAAAGCAAGCTATGGTTTCCATCAGCAGGCAGAACTTCCTTTCTGAGTCAAGAAAGGTCAATTGTACATTTTCAAAAAGGTGCTGACGTGAAGGGAGGAAAGAAGGTTAAGGGTGGAGGAGACCACTTTCAAATTTCATTATTTACGTTTTCTACAAAATGTTAGTTTTTAAAAAGTCAGTAACTTGGTTTCAAAATGCCAGTCAGCTAGTATGCTGGATATCTCAGACGGCACAAATGTGCTACATTTCAGCCTTTTTTTGGGGGGGGGGGGTTAGAGAATATAGTTGTTTTTATTTTTATATACTTCTGCAAAAAGTAGCCACTCTGACTCCACATGTTAACTTGAAATCCTGTTCTAATGTAACTTAGAAGTTGTTAAGTCCATACAAATGGGGTTTATAGTGGAAGTCATTGAGAAGCTATTTCAGGAGCCGTATGATACAATTTAATGTACAGTTTTAAACGTTTGATTCAGTTGAAGGATGGTCTCCCTTCGCAGCATAAAATGGAGTTGTGAGTTTTCAAATGCATTTTCTTAGAGATTTCTCTAGTAGTCACTAAGGGAAAGATTTGATTGCTATCTTGCAGTATTTTAAACGCTCTCATAAAAGCAGTGGAAAATAATTACTTGGTATCACTGTATACTATTGCAGAGCTGTGCTTTAATGGTGAAAGATAAAATCAGCAGGTTTTAAGTGGCAGGAGACTTTAGACTGGTTTCTTAGGAAAAATGACAGTATTTCTGGAGCCTTTGGTACATGTTGCTTGACTATTTTTAGGGAGGTTGAAACCATCTTCCCAGAAAGCTTTAACATGAGTGAATTGTCTTCTGACAAATGTGTTTCAGGTATAGAAAGTTGGCCAATGGGAATTGTTTTCTATGCTTTAAAACAAAACCTGCCTTCAAGTGGTTGCCACATGTCATTTAGTTTCCACCTGCATTCCCTACCTCCTCGCCCTTTCTGAAGTCTCCCAGCAATGTTTTTTCCCCAGGTGCAGAAAGACAGCTGAGAGAAATAGTGGGGAGGGTCAGATTATAGCAGCAGGAATCGGATGGCCACAAAATTATGTTGTTCTGTACTTCCTTCCACTCCCAATCCTTTGAGGCATAGTCCAGAGGATAGAAACAGATCCATCAACTATGCCAAGTGAAGGAAGATCACAATGGCAGTGCCCTCCAAGAGGCAGAAATGCGTCTTGCTCTTGCATTTTTGAGTTGTGTACTCTCAGTGACTTGCTTGTCTGTTTGTACTCAGGACTTGCTTGTCCGCAGCATAAACAAATTGTAGTGATCTGTGCATAATTTAATACAAAAGTATTTGTGTTACACCATTTTAGTTTTGAGGGAATAATATATGAACTCTTTGCCTCCTTTTGGTCATCATTTTAAAAGAAAACGTTTCATAATCCAAAAATGTTTTACATTTTTTGGGGGGTGGAGAGAAGTGCTTTTTAAAAACGGGGGGGGGGGCTCCTACTTTTTCTGGAATGATTCCATTTTTCTCTGAGCCTTCACATCTGTCCCTGACTGTGTGTACCTGAATGAAGCAGTGTGAATTCTGATGGCTGAAGGTTTATCAAGTTGGGAATCGGGTTGCAGGTGGGATGCGTGTACTCACTTCTGTGAATTCATGTTTTAAATTTTATTTTCCAGTGCATCCATCGAGATTTAGCAGCAAGAAACGTTTTGGTAACTGAAAATAACGTCATGAAAATAGCTGACTTCGGGTTGGCCAGAGACATCAACAATATAGATTATTATAAAAAGACTACTAATGTAAGTGGATGGCAGTCTTATCACTTGATCCGGTATCTTTTTTCCTTGGTGCATTTAAGTATGGCAAATGTATTCCTAATGGACTTCTTGTACAGCAGCCTAACTTTTAATCAAAGAAATGAAAATAATAGGCAAGTGTGTTAGGATTCCTAACCCCTTTTTACTAGGAAAGGAAGGTTATCTGCTTACACCGGCTGGGAGAGTACGTGTTACATGATGCTTTCTAAAGGATAAGCTTTAGCCTTTTTCGTTTTATGGCCTCCATGAAACTTGCAGCACATTCTTTGACTCTTAGCTAGATACTGAATATGAATATAAATTTGGCTTTTTGTAATCAATGGATAATTTTGTGGAATGTATCCATTATGAAATTACCAACATTTGGTTTTAGTTTTGTAGAAGTCTTTTACTACCCACATTTCAGCAGAAGCTTATGACATTCTTGGCAATCCGCTGGTTAAATAACAAGCACTCCCCATTTAAATGGCATGCCCTCACTGTGGATAGCAGCTTATTCTGTTGTGTTTTTTTTTAAAAAAGCAACAGGATCTCTTAGCATACAAAGTAGTGATTAAATCTATATAGAAAAGGCCTAACATGCGGGGCTTCTCTTGCACATTATACTAGATGCCCTTGCGTCGTCATTCACATGAATCATATTTCTGGGTCAGCTGTCATTTTAGTTAACTTATTTATTTAGTACATTTATATTGCATCTTCTTTCCAGCACAGAAATCAGGGTTCTTTACATCGGTGGTCTCCCATTTAGGCATTGACCAGATCCAGTCTGTGGGCATGTGACACTGAGAAGGACTATTTGACTTTGGTTGAGGAGAGGAACTGCTAAACAGGCGGCGACCATTTTGTGTTTGTCCAACTGACACACAATCACTGATGCCCGGGTCCTTTTGGACCTAGCAGAGGGCAGAACAGGGGCAGGCTAATGCAGTGGGGGGGGGGGAGGAATTGGAATCCCCATGCAAAATGGTTGCCGCCTGCACAAGGGCATATTCCAACATTTTGGTTTTTATTTTTTTTTACCCCTGAGTATGCTTGAATACAGCAAAGTAAAGCGTTCCCTGTATTATACAGGTTCTGCAGAGTGCTGCTGATTGGGGAACGATGCCTTGGTGGGGTGGAAGCTGTGGCAGAGCTTGACTTTCTGATTCTTTCAATTCTGAATAAGACGTTTTAAAATTCTCATTCTATAGAAGTTAATGAGAATCACAGCTATGTTAATGAGCAGGAGACTAAGGAAAGAGGGGTTGTGTTTTCTAATGTTTCATGGAACTGTTAATTTGCTTTAGCAAAATTTAGTATTGCAGCTTGACTTAATCTTTGCCAGATTCATTGCTGAAATTGACTAATGATCAGTAGATAACCAGTTGCTGCTTTTCTATTTTATGTCCAGGGTCGGCTGCCTGTGAAGTGGATGGCACCAGAAGCTCTATTTGACAGGGTTTACACACATCAAAGTGATGTGTAAGTAACTTTATCTCAGAACCTTACTTTTATCTTTTTATTCATTTATAGCTTCTTCCAGTGTACTTGAATTACATGTAATAGAAATATATATGCAACAGATTAAAATATGTCTCTCAACCTTTGATCCACCAAGGTAAATTAATTTACTGCAAGCCAGACACCTTTATTCTGGCAGGTTAAAAAGCTGGAAAGAAAAGCTTTTTGTGCTTTGTTTTTTCGCAAAGGCTTTTTTGTTTTTTTAAAAATTACCATGGAAAACTTCAGAACCAAAGAAAACAATGGATATTTTCAATCTCATTGCTGCCTCATGGACTCATTCTTTCAACAATATTGTTGACCTCACTTTGGTAGATTTTATATTATTTTCCCCTCCTTTACTTCCTGAGACCTGTGCCTGCTGTTTTATTCCCCAGTAAGTGGTAGCCTTAGAAAGTGAGGATTTTCTGGAAGACTGCAGACCAGTGCTCTGTTACTAATCTGGCTGGCTTCAAAGCACATGAAAGGTAGAAAACACTGGCTTCCTCTTGCCAGTGCGGAAGTTTACTTCCCTTGAACCTTCTTTACAGATGTGCAGCTCTGAAGCATTGTTTTACATGGTTTGGTTGGAGCATTTTCTGAACCAAAGCGTGGAGACACTAAGGCTTGAGTTGCTGTTAATTGTTCGTAAATCTGTGACTGCAAGGGCTTCCTCAGAATTGCAGGTACATTTGGACAAGAAGCAAAATAGTCAAAATAGTCTGTTTCCCATGCTAGTCCTTGTCTGTTTCAGAATCCCATGCAAATGTCTGGTGCACATATTTGTTGTATTCATGCCACCTTTGGGCTGATCAGACTTATATAATGGATGCACATCAGCCTCTGATAGCAGATCACACACAAATGCCATTGCCTTACGCAGTCCTGCCTTTACGGATTGTCGAGACATATCTGCAAGCAAATATGGTTTGGATTGTAAGCATGGAACAGGTTCCTTATATTTGGATCAGATTCAGCCAGACCCTACTTACATCCCATGATTCCGTGGTTCTGGTTGTGTCTCTTTGTCTCTCTCCTATGTGTGTGTTATTATGGGGCAGTCAACGTGGTTCCCTCCATATGTTGTTGGACTACTACTTCCATCATTCCTGCCCATTGGCCACATTGGCTGGGGCTGATGGGAGTTGTACTTCCAACTGGAGGGTACCACATTGGCTAGCCCTGCCATACTCTTCGCCCAAGGCACTCAGAGCAGTTTCTGCATGATTCCCAGAGGTTTTACCATCCAGGTTTGCAGAAGCAGATCTGCTTAATTTTTAGCAATAGAACTGAGTCACCCCCAACATTTCTCTGTTTTTCTTTGTTTGTTTTCATCATGAAGTACTTCCTCAAACAAAATGATTTTTATATTTGGAGAGGGGGTAGATTATTGGTTTCTGTAGGATTGGTAAAAAATGGCAAGGTAGATGGATAGCTATCATTATTCATCTGCCGCCAGAAAGAGGAAAACAAGCAAGGAAAGTAGTGTTAAACAACTTTGCTGCTCAGATCATAAGGTAGGTAGCTAAAAGTAGATGTCTCTATGCTGTCTTTAGTAAATCTGACTCAGCCCCATTCTTATTCCCTTTCTTGTTTTAGATGGTCATTTGGTGTGCTAATGTGGGAGATCTTCACTTTAGGAGGGTCACCGTATCCAGGAATTCCAGTGGAAGAGCTCTTCAAGTTGCTGAAAGAAGGACACAGAATGGACAAACCTGCCAATTGCACCAGTGAACTGTAAGAACTCTTTCTTGCTGGGCCATGGGCTGAAAAGGGATGTGCTGATATAATTGACAATATTTATATGATACAATGGGAGCGCTATAACGTTAAATGCATGTGCACACAGGGCAGGTTCAAAAATGAGTATTAAAAGAGATGAAACGAATCAGTCACAGGAAGAGGGAGGGTCCTGAAAATACACATCTCAGCTGTTAAAACCCAGGATAAACATTGCATGTCTGATACTGCATATTTTTAGCAATGTGAACAGGAAGTGTATGATTTGGAAAAGTTTTAATTATGCAGTCAGTTGTGGACCTGCCAAAGGTACACCTCAATAAGTTGATCTTTTTGTTTGAGTTGCACTTAGACCAGGTCCAGCTGCAGACTTCAGGGGCCCTCAGCACAGTGCTGCAGATGCCCTCTCAACACTCATGCTCTACACATACCCAGGGTGGTCAACCATTTTCCTTCTGTGGCCTCCTTGTTGGGCCCTCAGATGGCTTTTTAGCAGGAATGATTAATGATTCATTAGAGTGGGGGTGGCACCATTTGTTTTAAGAAGACCTGACTTAGACAGTGCCCTAAGCACAGGGACATGAAATAGATACCCTCAATCATCAATTTGCGTTTTGCTCAACCTTAGCTGGGCAAATGTATTCCACCACATTTATGTAGCACTTTACAGTTAAGTACATGCTTGTCCTTTCCTAAGTTGGAACTCCTCAGCCTAGTGATCTTTTTTCACCCACCTCTAGCCAGAGAACCATCAACAGCAGGCCTTCTACCCACTATCTGACTTGAATCATGCAAGAATATATCTTGTCTAAAGTATTGTACGGGGTCTGAAAATCCTACCGGCTTCTTTTTTAAAAAAGTATTTACTTTACTCATGCACCTGTCTCATACATCCCAAAGTTGCTTTCCAGACCCGTTTTAAGCATAGCATATGGTTCACAGATTCATCAAGTAACCAGCAGTGGAACTCGTGATTTCTGCTCACATATATGCTGTGGCCCAATATGTGGGGCCTTCCAGTCAATTATAGCGACATGTTTCATCTTTAGTGCTATGCTTGAAATAGCCCCAGTCTAATGCCAGTAATGTCCTAGCTCATCCCCATATAATGTATTTGAAAGAGTGTGGATAGTGATACTATAATTCTCAAGCCTGGGGCTGGAAATAGAGCTGTATGATTGTCACTGGAACAGGCTATACAACTGGCAAGAGAGAAGAGTATAGGGGATGGAGAAGCCTCACCACTTTTTTTTTTTTTTTTAGAAACTTAAGGTGGCATTCCACTATGTTTTATTCAGAGCAGACCCATAGAAATTAATAGACTTAACTTAGTCATGAAGACAGGAGTGCCTGGCGTGCTCTGGTCCATAGGGTCACGAAGAGTCGGACAGGACTAAACAACTAAACAACAACAACAACTTAGTCATGGTGATAATTCAGTTGAAGAGCCACCTATTTCAAAATCACTAATCCCAGCCGATACTGGGTTTGGATTGCTCTCTTAGAGTTATATGAATGCTCCAGCACTATGGTTCAAATACAGATTCACAAATTGCCTGAGCCTGGGGTGGGGTGGGAGGAGTTGCGTCGCTTAACAATGCTCCGAAAGATACCCCTTGGCCAATCCCTCAGGCTTTTAGATATCAGCATGAAGAATTTGTTTTTAGGCAAATGGTTTGTTTGTTTATTCTAAAATAATCCTAAAGCAAGATACAATACCACTGAAATGCAATAAATTTGTATATTAAATTGATCAACAGTAAAACTGCTGAGAGTGCATACACTGTCAAACAAATGAACTTTTGTATTTACAAATAGTGAAAGAATTTCCACAAGAACCATTCTCGGTTTGCCTAGTGTATGCTTCACATAATGGTTACTCAAATTCTCCCCTGTGAGCTGCCTTGAGCTTCATTTCAAAAGAGAGAACATAGGCTGCTAAGGATAATAATAATAATAATAATAATAATAATAATAATAATAATAATAATAATAAAATAAATGTAGAATACAAATAAGCATCAATGGGAATCACCATCGTTCATAATGCATGCATCTTAAATACTCCAGACTGTAACATGTGAACACACCCTGACTTTAACTGAACAGCCCTGAAGTATTGTGAATATGGAAGATGCCTGATATAGACACATTGAGTTAATTAACACAGTGAAATTCTGCCTTCCACAGCTACATGATGATGAGAGATTGCTGGCATGCTGTGCCTTCCCAGAGACCTACTTTTAAGCAGCTTGTGGAGGACTTGGATCGGATCCTCACTCTCACAACTAATGAGGTGAGTAAGGCGCTTGCTTTTTAAACTTCTGAAAGAACAAGCAAAATGCTTCCATTGTTATAAGGAGTATCTTAAATGAGAGCATGCCTATTGCAAGATATGTTAAGGAGAGTTTGTGCGTTCCAAGGCTCCTGGCAATGAAGGGCACTTGCACAAGTTATGCACAATACACATTGCACACATACCCTGGTAGAATCCCTGTTCACAGAGTACAAAGCACTGAGCACTGGTTTTGCCCACACTACAACCGTGTCCAAGTATCTGAAAAACAACCATTAATTTCTATGGATAAACTAAAAGAGGTGCATTCAGTGTATTAATCTCTTCCTATAATCCCAGCCAGTGAGAATCACCCCATTCCATCCTGAGTTCTTTTTCAGTGTTAAAGTGCACTGCAGTTTGATTCTGATTTCTATATATGTAGATATAGTAGAAATAGAAGTCTGAACCCAGCACCAAGATCAGTTAAGTATTGTGGATGAGAAACAGTATTGGAGATTCTGTTGAACCCACAAATTATAAAATTTCTTAGGCTTGCATTTTAATTTGAAATGGAGTTTCTTCCCAGGTTGGTATTTTTTTTTTGAAGTAGTACGCCCTTGAATACCAGCTATCATGGATTGTCTTCCATGGTAAATTGTGAGCTGCATGGACTTCCCCACATCTAGAGAGTCATACTATAGCAGCATATTGAAGCTAACAACCAAGTAAGGATTATCACATAAATTCGTCATCTGAACCATCCTTCAGTGAATATATGGATCTGTTGAATATGTGTGAATCACATGGATAAAGTCTTTCACTGGGTATCCCAATAGCTTTCTCCTTCCATTTGTGGTAGAAATTTCCCGCTCCATATTTTTCCTAAAAGCTGTCATGCTAATTTATATTGAGGAAATGACAACTTCTTTTGAAGTCAATGGGCTATTTGCCATTGATGGTAGAGGCGCCACAATTTTAGCCTGTGCATACCGATAGATTCATATTGTCTCTAAATAGACACGGAGATCACAGGGACCAGACATGAAAGAGTACTTACAAGATATGGAAGTAACATCAGATCAAAAGTGTACTATGAACTTTTTTTTTTTTTTTGCTGTGTGCCATGCTCCTGTGTATTTTACATTTAATTAACCATCACTGTTTTAATAGGAAAACATTCACTGTTGGTTTTTTTAAAAAAGGAAAATCACATAATTTGTTAAAAACACACACACGCACGCAACCCAGCTTTTAAAAATTGATTTTTCACATCTTAGAATCGTAACTTGTGGTTTAGCAAATGAAGAGATTGGTATTTAAATGAATACAGCTGCTCTGCAGAAGTTGAAAGAGAAGCAGCATTTCAAGGAGAAAAAAATAACTTTATTCTCCTGCCAAAACTGTTGTTTCAAGAACTTCTATAGCCCTGGCTTCAGATTCAGCTGACACTGTAGCTCTTTTTCTCCTCTTCCTCTTCTTTTTAAAGATTTATTTTATTTTCATTAAACATTTACAAATGACAAATAAAACGACACAGAAATGTAGCTGTTACAAGACTGTACAAAGCGAAGCACGATACAGTAGCAAGGAAAGTATCCACCAATGTAACATTGTGAGCACTCTGCTCCCATGGACTTGGAAATTTATCTTAAGGCAAGGATCCTATGCCTTATATCCTATGCCCCACTTTCAAAAGGCCTTTCCATATAGGAGCTGGATAGACTGGGGAGCTGGATAGACTGATGTGTCCTCTTCTGGCTAAGACAGATGGCTATGTCACAGACATAATTAATCCAGGTCTCCATTGGTGGCTCTGGTTCAGCTTTCCAGTGACAAGACAGAGTTGGCCACTCTGCCGTCAACAAGAAGAATCCTAGGTCCCTATGCTTAATCACTGGGTTTTATTTGCCCCCCCCCCCAGCTATGAAAATGTAGGACACAAGCAACTAGGAAGGTTTTCTGTGTTAGACTCATTGAATGAAAGTGCCATGCTCCCTCTGATTTCACTGGGGCTTGCTCAAAATCATTGCTAAGTTTATTGAGTTCCACAAATGCTGGTGGAAGCAACTACAGTGAGCAAAGAAATATATTTAGAGTACCATATTGCAGTGACTTGGGTATTACTTGCTTGAGCACATGTAAATTGAAATATGATATTATAAAATGCAAAATAGCCAGCTTAACCAAATGGATATTGGAAAGAAAGGATCGTTCTCTCTGCAAATTGTTTCCATATGCTGGGGGGGAAAATAGTTCTTGTGTAGGGTGAAATTTTGTTTTTATCATCGTAAGCAAAATGTTTGCTTTTGATGTGGCTACAGTATATGTCTCGACTGGTGTGGTTAAAGTTGATGTTGTTGGAACTGACACATCTGCCTCAGAATTCCCTTTTTTGTTGGTTTGGGTCCCCCGCTCCTTTTTCACACTCCTCTGGTGACTTCTAGTTTTATGAGTAGCTATTACCCTCCCCCCCTCTCCGTCTAAAGAGCTTAAGGCCTTCTTTTATCCTCACATCTACTATATAAAGTTGAGTTAGCTGAGAAATGAAGCCAGCAACCCAGAAGAAAGCATCATGGATGGGTAGGGATTGAACCCGAGTTTCTACAGTCTTAGTTCTGACACTGGGCCTGTGTGCACATCTTGAGTAAACCGTAGTTTGTACCATGCTTGCTCCTTCATGCTTGAATACAGATGAACTGACCCACAATATATGGCTTTGCATTCCATCCAAACCCAAGTATCATGGTTTGTTTTGCTTCCAGCAAATCACAATCGGTAAGCCAAGAAAAACCCTTTGGGGGTACAGAGCACCAGTGAGATCAGGAAAAGTGACAGAGCCTTCTTATGCATGTTTACAGTAAGCTATTAACCATGGTTTACTGTGATATGTGAACTGGGTCAAGAAAGCTACTTTTGAATGTTAAATGGTGTCAGCCTGTTTTTTGTTTGTGTTTCTATATGAATGTGATATTATTGACACACACACACACACACACCACAAAAGTAAATGTGTACACTCCTAGTAAATACTTGTATGCATTGTTCTTACAGGAGTACCTAGATCTTAGTGGACCACTGGAACAGTATTCACCTAGCTACCAAGACACAAGGAGTTCCTGTTCTTCAGGTGATGACTCTGTTTTTTCTGCCGATCCGATGCCTTATGAACCTTGCCTCCCTAAGTACCAGCACATAAACGGCAGTGTCAAAACATGAAAAGAACCCTTATTTTATTCCTCAAAGGAGTAAGAAAACAAGAATGTCTACCTACCATGTGAAAAAAAAGAGCCTTCCTTCAGACACACAGGATTTTTGTTTGTACATATGAATTGTAGGGACCAAAACAAAAGCAAAAAAAATTGGCAAAAGGTGTTATGATCACACCGGGGGGAAAGTGGTGTACTTTGGAATGCCAAACAATTTTCAGAAGAAGAATTTTATGGGCCATATTTGGATGCCAGTTGACAGGTCTGGATGCCGCAACACACTTTCTACATTCAGTGGACCAGTTGGACTTGAGGCAAATGTTGGGTCAGCCTTCCTTGTTTATTTTGTAATATTTGGAGAAAATATATGTTGGCACACACTTACAGAGCACAAATGCAGTATATAGGTGCTGGATGTATGTAAATATAATCAAATGTGTATAAATATATATTATATATATTTACAATGAATTATTTTTTGTATTGATTTGAAAATGGATGTCTCACTTCACCAAGCAAAATTAGCCTTTTTTTTTTAAAGAAACAGCTACCTGTAATTGCTGTTCATACATAAAACTTTTCTTTTTTAAAATATCACCACCTAAAGGTGAAAAATACTTTGCTTTCAGGGAAAATTGTTATCTCATTAATTTATTAATTAATTGGTAATGTACAAAACAATTAATCTTTTATAGGGTTGTGTTATTTTGTAATTTAAATGGCATTTCTATGCAGACAGCACAGAGAACTAGTAGATATATTGCTCAAACTTTACTAGTTGTCAGATCTTTTTTTTAAAAAAAGAGAGAAATATTTACGGTATATAACTAATTTTGGGAATTAAGGTTTTAATTAATTTGGGTTGTTTTTTTAACAGTGACATGCTATACATGTCTACCCTTTGAGTTCAGCAGGTATAGATAGGATTGCAGCCTAAAGTTACATGAGAGGTTATTGCTGTAACAAACCAAAACTCTCAGAAATAAAAAAAAGGTGTCCTTTAATGAGAAAGTATTTTGCTCCCTGTATTTCCAGGTGTGTAGCTGTTTTGGTTGTCACACTTTACAGCTCCTCAAATGCAAAAAAGTTAGATGGCCACCCCTGTTCATTTAATTAAATTGCTCAGTAGAACAACCCAAAATTCTGAGACTTATTCCATAGTCTACTGAAATAAGGACCTATTCTAGCTTGTCTAAACTTCTACAATTTTTTAAACGTCCTAAACCTCAATTCTTAGCTTTCTGTACATGCTTCAGATTAGGCAATTATGTTTGCTGAAGGTCCAATAATGCTTTTGGATATTTTTATCAAACACACGCTTTTGAGGCTCCTCTTGTACTACAAGAGCACCGAGGTTGTCATCATGGCAATTACAGAAATTCGTGTTGGAATCTGACCATCTATCTGAGGGGTTATTTTATTCTTGCTCCATTACAGCTTTCCAAACCATCCTGCTGCACCAGGTGTCAGCCCTGGTGCCTGGCCAAAAATATTACTGCATTTCTATAACTTGTCTTTCAGAATTTAAAGCATTATGTTTTCACATTCAAATCACCTTTCACACTGGTGTAGCCATGCAATATGAATGCAATCCATACCGACTTTACATGTTTTTTAAAATGGGGGGGGAGGGGGTAAAAAGTATTAAAATCTGTTAATTTTTGTACTGACAATAAAAATCTTTCTACGGATATTAATGTTAACATTACAAAATAAATGTCATGCATCTTATTTTTTTAAATCATTTGTGTCTTACAAAATGGCTTCGGGTTTGCTACGATAATATAGCCAGAAATGGAATGAACACCCATTAGTTTGTGTTAGTTATCGTTAACGTATGACCGTTTGCATTCAGCACAATCCATTACATGTTATTTCCAGACCATTCCCAATTTATTTCAGTACAGTGGTACCTCGGGTTACATACGCTTCAGGTTACAGACTCTGCTATCCCAGAAATAGCACCTCGGATTAAGAACTTTGCTTCAGAATGAGAACAGAAATCGTGCGGCAGCAGCAGCGGGAGGCCCCATTAGCTAAAGTGGTGCTTCAGGTTAAGAACAGTTTCAGGTTAAGAAGGAACCTCCAGAACGAATTAAGTTCTTAACCCGAGGTACCACTGTACTTGGAAAAGGGCAACCAAGTAGATTTAATAATAATGCTAAAGGTAAAGGTACCCCTGCCCGTACGGGCCAGTCATGTCCGACTCTAGGGTTGTGCGCCCATCTCACTTAAGAGGCTGGGGGCCAGCACTGTCCGGAGACACTTCCGGGTCACGTGGCCAGCGTGACGAAGCTGCTCTGGCGAGCCAGCACCAGCGCAGCACATGGAAACACCGTTTACCTTCCCTCTAGAAAGCGGTACCTATTTATCTACTTGCACTTTAGGGGTGCTTTCGAACTGCTAGGTGAGCAGGAGCTGGGACCACAGACGGGAGCTCACCCCGCCGCGGGGATTTGAACCGCCGACCATGCGATCGGCAAGCCCTAGGCGCTGAGGATTTACCCACAGCACCACCCGCGTCCCTAATAATAATGCTAGTAGTAAGCAAAAAGACAAGACAAGTTTGTCCCCATACAAAACCCCCAAACTGCAAAAGATAATAAATCTGCATTGTACCAATGATGCTGCAATGGAGTGTTTTACACTGGGCTTTAAGAATTCATGTTTTTTTTTGTTCTCTCGGGAACAGAAAGGGTCATGAAGGGGTCATGGAAGGGCTAGAAGAGTGCTAAGTGCAGCACAAACTCCTTCACATGCCCCCTTTTTAGAGAATTCAATGGCATAATCTGTTCAAACAAGAAAAAGTGAGAATTTATGGAAAAACCCATCCTGCCAAGAACCCCGTTTCAAAGAGGGTTGTGGCCAAGATACAATATTTCGTCTAGACATTTCTCTCTGGCGCAGTTTATTTAATTTTTTTATTTTGTCAAAGGTCTATATTCAGTAGAATATAGTGCTTCCTTCTGCCCCATATTCTGTTGCCACAGAGATGTACAAACTGAAAACTAAATACTGAGCTATGGACACTTACAAAAACAATAGCATCAATGTCACAATTCTATGTCATTACGTCTCAGAGTCAGTGTGTTCAAGGAAACTTCAAACATTTGCTATAGAGTCATCTTATGTTGGGAATCAATATGGCATGTTGCCTTTAAGCCAAATATGAAGCTATTGATTCACACAAAAGGTTTGCCACTGGGATCTATCATTAACTCATGTGTGTGCATGCTTGCATAGAGTTTTAAAGCCTTCAAAGTTACTAGTAGCATTTATTTTGATGCTAACTTACAGGCAGATAGTATCCCTGTTCAAGGTACCCATTGAACTTCATGAATGACATAGATTCTATTTTTTGCATGGTCACTATCAGTCTAACCTACCTCTCTTGGTTGTTGTGAAGAACTTGACATGTACACAGCATTCAATTCACTGAAGTAAGTGCAACATAAACATTTAAATGCACTTTATGAGTTATTCTATGAATTACTTAATGTAATTTGACAACTGAATAGTATTTTTTGCAACATGAATGGCTATAGCTGCAATGGTTGTAAAATCAGAAAAACAAAACAAGTGATTTTTGCAAATTAGATTTAGTTTAAAAATAAAATAAAATAACAAGACGTCCTTCCAGCATCTTAGAATACATTGTTTTTGGAGGGCTTTAGCAAAAAGATCAGAGGCTTTTGAGCTATGTCTAATCTGACTTCTGACAAGTTCATGCAGGCTGCTCCCATACATAACATAGAAATAAGTTCCAGTAAGTTCAGTGGGACTAACTCCTTCATATGTGGGCATAGAACTGTAGCTTTTAAAAGTCACAGTAGTTTGTTTCGTTTTGAGTGTTAGCTGCGATAACCTTTTGCCTATCACTCACAACCACACCAAGGGATGGTGAACTCATACATTCCAGGCCTCCTTAAAAGTCAATAAACTTAGTTCTCACCCATGCATGCCCTCTTACAATACTTTGTATCCCAGATACAAAGCTCTCAAACACTTGACTGATTAAAATAGCCCTGCCTAATGATGCAAAAGAACAACAACTTTTGGATCATTTAAGGGAGTTTGCAATGTGTGCTTAGAAGAGTTTGTTCCGAAAGTGATGCACCAAATAATTTTTGGGCCAAATCATTCTGAAATGGGCCAAGAAATTTCACCTCAATGGAAGACGTTTGTTTTAGGATCATTACATAGTTTTTCCCCATAGTGGGATCAGGTAGCATTTTATTATTTGTAGCTTGCTAGCTTCACCAAATGGTCCCAGGGTATTGTGGAAAGAGCTATGGGTTCAAGGTTCAATGCCATCTGGATATCCTGCTATATAAACATGAAGGGAAAGGATAGTAGAAGTCTTGTCAGTTACAACTGAGAGCAAAGCCAGAGAAGACCATTTGGGAGGGAGTGAATTCAGTGTGCGAGTGGCTTATTGTTGTTTCAGCATTTGTTGGGACATGAGGGAGGAGCAGGGTAAGCATTTTGAAACAAGGAGATTTGAAATTCTCTTCAAACTTTCAACATAGACGGGTTCTTGCAATGGTCCATGGCATTGCAATGCCTACAGCAGAAAATTTAAATCACAACCCTCCCAGCATGGTGGCAAAAATATAACGTGTCATTGAAATTTTTCTGATAAATGTAATGATTAATTAAATTTAATGATAAATTAAAATTTTAATGAAAATTATGGAGAAAGTGGTAGAGAGTTTTTCTCATAACGGCAGAACTGGACATCCAGTGAAACTAAGGTACTTCAAACAGCACATAAACTATGGAAATTGCTCCAACAGGAAGCTATGATGACCACTAATTTATATGATTTTTAAAGCAGATTGGAGAGATTGGTAGAGATCAAGGCTACTAGCCCTGATGGCTATGCTCTGCCTCAATGGTCACAGGTAGTAATGCTTATGAATGCCACTGTGGGAAACCACAGTGCAGAAGACCACTTGTACTCAGGTCCTGTTTGCGGGTTTCCCACAGGCAACTGGTTGACAACAGAACAGGACGCTGGTCTCAATTGGCCATTGGCCTGATCCTGCAGACTCATCTTTTCTTATATCTTAAAATTGGTGCTTGTGGCAAGTCACATTCTCCTTCCTAATGTCAGAGTTAACCCCAACCTCATCTTCCCATTCAGAATTGGTCTACTACACATCATTTTTAATTATTGGGGGTGATTTTTGTGCTTAAAGTGGGCAAGAGATTTGATCAAACTACACACATATGGCTCACATAGTTTATAAAATCTTCAAAACATACTTGGCATCAAGTAGTATAGCAAGGGTCCGTATAGTAAAAGCTATGCTTTTCCCAGTAGTGATGTATAGAAGTGAGAGCTGGGCCATAAAGAAGGCTGATCGCTGAAGAATTGATGCTTTTGAATTATGGTGCTGTAGGAGACTCCTGAGAGTCCCATGGACTGCAAGAAGATCAAACCTATCCATTCTTAAGGAAATCAGCCCTGAGTGCTCACTGGAAGGACAAATCCTGAAGCTTAGGCTCCAATGCTTTGGCCACCTCATGAGAAGAGAAGACTTCCTGGGAAAGACCCTGATGTTGGGAAAGATGGAGGGCACAAGAAGAAGGAGACGACAGAGAACGAGATGGTTGGACAATGTTCTCGACGCTACCAGCATGAGTTTGACCAAACTGCGGGAGGCAGTGGAGGACAGAAGTGCCTGGCGTGCTCTGGTCCATGGGGTCACGAAGAGTCGGACATGACTAAACGACTAAACAACAACAGTATGGGAAACAGCCTTATTAGAAAAACTAACCAATAAATTGAAATTGACACAGGGACAAATAGAAGACGCCTTCACCCCGGTATGGTTCCCCTTTGCCACATACACAGCCCAACAAGACAACAACAAGAATCCGCCAACAACATATGAATCAATCTGGCTAACCTGATCCAAAAACACACACGCACCCCACTCACACACAAAAACAAATCTCATTACAGCCAACCAAAGACAAGAAAGACAACCAACCGTACCCTAAGCCACCACCAACCTCTCTCACCCCCAAAGAAATACAAGTGAATAGTAAGAGAACCCACACAAGTGACGCTGACACAATACCCCACACGTACATTAAGTAGAAGAATAGAAACTTTGCCAGCCAACCCCACATCACTCTTCCCCCTCCCCCTCTTCCCCTCTTCCCCTCCTAACCTAACACACTATGTAACACTAATGTCTCACAACTAATGAAACTGATCTGTAGAAAATGAAATTTGAAAAAAGAGACAATGCTCATATTTTTGTAAACTAAGAAATCATATTCATACACACACACACACACACACACACACACACACACACGTATACTTGGCTATCAGGTTTTGAATTGATTTCAGTACCAGTCACAACATATTCTTTCTTATTTATGGCTAATAATCTGTCACTGCCCAAAAGCTATAGAGCCATGAGTGAAGAGTGGATCTTCCTGGCCAGTGTCTCCTTTAACAGGAGAACAAGGGGGATGAAATAAGCCAGGGTTTAAGTTTTCTGCCTGGTGCCTAAGCTTTAACCATAATTTGTTAGTTATTGTTGAGATAGCTATGGTTAATGTTAACCATGACTTAGCATTGTGTGCAAACCAGTACACTGAATGCTTCTCATGACTTTCTACAGTATATGAAGGAAGAGAAATGCAGTATGTTTGCTATCTACTATATCTGCTCTCAGGGCCCTTCCTCCTTCCAAACCTGCTGGCTCCAA